GGGAGGGGGCTGCATCCCAGCAAGCGCGAGCCCCGGGCGGGGGCAGGCGGGTGCTGAGCCCCCCCAGCACCGATCGTGGTTCCCGCCCCGCACGGAGCTGCTGGGGGTGGGGGCTTGACTCCCAGCCGGCGCTGAGGGTCTGGGGTCTTCTCCCCAGGCAAAACCTCCCTGGCTCATCAGTTCGTGGAGGGGGAGTTCCTGGAGTGCTATGACCCCACGGTGGAAAGCAGTGAGTGCAGGCGGGCTGGGCCTGGGGCCCATGTGCTCCGCGCTGGGGGGGTGTGCGTGGGCAGACCACCGGCCATGGCAGTCTCTTCCCCAGCCCTCAGCCGAGAGCCTTGCCAAGGCGCCCGGGAGCTGTGGGGCTGCCGGCACTCCCTGTCCTGCTTGGGCTGGGTAGGAAGGGGCCAGGCAGGCGCTGGTGGCTTTTGCGTGCGATGTTTCCTGCCGCCGGCTTGTCGTGTTGTGACAGCCTGCCTATCCTGTCCCCACCTGCCTAGAAGCCTCTTCCTGCCTGGTGTGGGGTCGCAGGCCCTGTGTGCATGGAGCGTGGCGTGCAGGAGGGGCTGGGGCACGTGCTCCGTGCTGCCTCTGTTGAGGGGACAGGGCCCTCTCCAGCACTGGGCAGTTCCCGCCACAGCCCTGGGGTGATGCTGCGTGCACCTCGCTCCTGCAGGGAAGGCCTCGTAGCTGGGGTCTTGCTGGGATCCCCACCCCACCCCAGCCCTACACTTGCTTGGGGGCAGTCATGGGCACGTGGGGGTCCATGAGGGACTGGACACGTGCCATGTGGGCATGCTAATGAGCATGTGGGCCTTCTGCAGCCTACAACAAAATGCTGGTGGTGGGGAAGGACGAGTTCCATCTGCAGCTGGTGGACACAGCCGGGCAGGTGAGGCCGGGGGCAGGGAGGGGCAAGGGCACCGGGCAGCTTTCCCGTGCCTACGGTTTGGAAGGCTGGCCTTGGCCCCGCGCGCGGAGAGGGCCCAAGGGAGGGCAGGGCGTGGAGCAGCCTGGTCTGCACCTGACTCTGCTGTCCTGCCAGGATGAGTACACCATCCTGCCCCACTCCTTTGTCATCGGCATCCACGGCTACGTGCTGGTGTATTCGGTCACCTCACTCCGCAGGTCAGTGGGTGCGTGGGGGGGATACTGCTGGGTCTGCCCTTCTGCCTGCCCCTCCTTTGACCCTGGGCTGCAGACATGAGCGGCACTGTGCCACCGCCCAGACCTGGCAGTTCTCCAGCAGCGGGGCTCCGTGAACCGGACCCGGGTCTTTCCCCATCTCCGCTGCCCTCAGAGTGGCTCCGGCTGGTCCCTCCAGCTGTCCCCCCCAGCACTGGCTCTGAGAGCTGTGGGCCCCAGCATGAGCTGCCAGCAGCCTTGGGGCAGGGGCTGTGCCAGCTCTGCAGCACTGTTGGTGCAGGGGAGGCAGCCAGGCCTGGTAAGTGGCAGGGGGAGGAAACTGCCTGACTCGCCGAGCGGAGCAGGGCCCTTGTGGGTGCCCG